TCATGATGGCTTCAAAATATCTAGCCAGTACTTCAGGGTATAATCTACACTTTGAAATACATTGTTAAAGAAATTTATATAAATCTCTGTTGCAAATGTTCTACCTGGTATTCAGATTATTTTGGCTGAGTCTTTGATAGGGCCGACTACTAATATAGGGCCGACAGTGATTCATGGCTCATAGTGTCTAACACTGACTCACTGTAAGTAGAAGCGTCCTCACTCCAGGTCTCCACCAGAGATGTCCTCTTATGCATGCTCAGTTAGCAGTGTCTTCAGTCCACAGTTATTTACAGGGGTATTTTTAAACCATTTGTGCATTTTATGAGGATTAGTTTAGTTAAAACTAGATTAAATCACACCTGAATCCCCTTACCAGGGTCTGCGTGAACTGGTTGGTGTTCAGTGTGCACAAGCATTGTCTGATGCCTTCCATGTCTTTTCCCGCTACTGTTTGGTGTCCAGGTCAGTGTGTATGCCCATTATCAGGGAACCCTAGGCTGTTATATTTTAGTAAAAAGTGACTTCAAATAGCTCCACCACCTACTTGTTGTACCCCTGAAGACTCATTGCAGCACACCTAGTGCATTGATCACAGGATTGTCAGATTGGGAAGAAATTGTCATCAATTCAAGAGCAGCAGAGGCAAGTCATGGAGAAAAAAATATTCCATGAGCCCAGTTCCCTCTTTTAATTCTCAGAGAAATGCAATTTAACTAAGATGAGTAATCATTCTTTCATATGTCTAATGAATCTAAATGTATATATGTTATATATCCAAGTTCTGACACAGACGTTAGGAAACATGATCTCAGCTCTTTGATCTCTCAACCTCAGTATTCTCACTTTTGGAATGCAGCAATATGTCTCTGAAGTTTCCCTCAATGTTAATTCTGCTTTGACTATTATATTAATTTATTGACTGAATAATTGGTGAGTTGGGTTTGGGTACAGATAGTTCAGAGTGCAAATTAAAGTAAAGGCAGTAGTGTAACAAGAAAGTAATTAGTTGTAACTTCTCAGAGTGTCTGTGGCTTTTCTGCTTTTACAACTCTACTTAAGAGAATGCATTTTCCCTCCCATTTCTGTTTGATAAGTAAGGCTGAGCTGGTGATGGTGCTTACCTTACCCCAGCATTCTCTCAGGATGCAAAAGCTGGTAGATCTCTGTGAGTTTGGGGCAGTCTGGTCTATATAACAAGTTTTAAGCTACCCAGAACTACATATAGATACCCTGCCTCAAAATAAAATAATAAAATAAAAAAGTAAAGTAAATATGAAGCACAGAGAGCTTAAGTGATTTGCTTAATATCTTAATACAAATGAGGTTTTCAGTTCAGCATTCTGATTCTTTCGTAACATGCTCTGAAGTCCAATAACCTTGTTTACCACGACACCAAGTTGGTGGTATTCAGTGTTCTAAAATAAAGATATGAATACATAGTTTTAAAATAGGCAACCCTTAGAAATCTAAGAGGATCTGACCCGCGGGCGCTCGGTAGTGGTAGTGAGTCAGTGTATGGGTGAGAGAAATGGCTGGGGGCATAAATCAAAGAAAGAAAGAGAGTGAGCAAGGGGGAGGGAGAGGGGTAAAGACAGAGAAGAAACAGTATTTAATTATTTAAAAGCATACCCTTTTAAGTTTTAGTTTGTAGAATTGCAAAGCAGAAAAGACACAAGTGTAAACATGGATAGAGTTATCACAAATCCTGAGATTGGGGACTCTGAAAGTTCAGAGTTCATCAGTTCAATTAGCTCATAGTTGCTGATGAGAAAAGTGAAATTCAAGAGGGAAAGTTAGTTGTCTTGGAAAAGGTCATACAACTAATTAGTGGAAAACAGTGCTGTAAGTAACGAACTGTGACTCTGGCCTCTTCATCTCTGACAAAGTATTTTTAGAGTTCATGAATTTATATCAGTACTTTTTAAAAAAAATAATTTTTGCATCTTCATTTTTATGCCTGGGTCCCCTGGATAATCACTTCCTTCTGTAGTTCGTCTCTGATGAATCCTTCCTTTGTGAGGGGCACGTCAGTAGAGGTGAGCCAAATACAGGCTCTTCATCCCACACCAATTAATACTGTACTCACAGGGCAGTAGACTGTGCCACAAGGGTTCTGTCTTTGTACATATTTGTTCAAAAGCTGAAACGAAATGGAAAATTCTTTTGCTACACCCAATCCCAGCAGTCATTTGATTGGATACTCAGCAACGAAGCTGTAATGCAAACTTTATCTTCATGTTAACAAGACAGCTTGGCTAAGTTATAAAAAAGTGACAGTTAAAATGGGATCGTATGCTGGTCAAAAATTTAGATGAATAGGAAGTCCAATAGCTGCAATCAACACCCGGAAGCCGTCTAACAGTCTCGTGTGTAGAATATTATTGTTCTTTATATTGAAATCTGGAAAGTCAAAATGTAGAAATAATACATGGGAATACTTTTAACTCTTCCTATGAGCATACCCAATATTGAAGTTTTAGTTGATGCAGAAAACAAATGTATTTCTTTAAATTTATCTTGTTTAAATTTTACTAGTGTCATAGTTTTTAAATTTAAATTTGTGAAATGTTCTTGTCTTATAAGAACTCAACTTGTAGCTTGCTTCCCTAATTTATATAATGCTTAAAACATAGAAATAAGAACAACACAATTCTATACTTAGAAACTGAGATGTTTTCTATAACCAAAATGTCTAACCATCTCTGAGGAACACTAACTGCACACTTCCCTCCAAGACTGTGGTTATTTGGTGACAGTTTTGTAAAGGAGAATGATTGGACCTTTCATTTCATGAGGCTGGGGACTCTGGCTTAGATCCTAACTGTATCCATTCATGTCATGCAGCCCTGCTCCCCACCCCTCTTGGTTTTTCATTGGCAAGCAGCAGATTGCAGGACTTGTACATCCTTACTATCTACTGGAATAGGTAGAGCAAGTGGCTTAGCAACAGGCAGATTTGGTGACATTCACTAACTCAGGGAATATTTGTCCTATATTAAAAATTATTACATTTAAAATTAAACTTTTATTTGGCACAACACACACACACACAGAGAGAGAGAGAGAGAGAGAGAGAGAGAGAGAGAGAGAGAGAGAGA